AAAGAAGTGGTTATGTATCTTTTAACGAGAACATAAAATAATTTGAAGGCATTTCATAAATTCAAATTCAAATCATGACCATAGTAGCCTGGGCTGAGAAGCTCATTCACCAGTGGTACGTGTTACCAAGTGTTGCCAAATGCTGGGTGGCTAGCAACAAAAACACCTCTTTAGTAAACAGCGAACTTGGCTGGAGAACACTATTGGCAAGCAACAGGGAAGTGGAGCCACTGGCAAATTTACTCTCACTCATCCACATTTGTGAAATAAACACAGGAAAGGAGGGGGGCTGCTGTGTGACTAATATAGTCTGGGAGGAGATTGACCAGACTGTCAATATGTTGTGGTTTCTAAACGCTGGAAGGGAAAAATAATTAGTTATGGGCTACTGGAGTACTAAAGGGAACATCTTTAAGTGTGAGTGCCAATCTAGAAAGCTTTGCACTGTACATGAAAAACAGAAAATGTTCATACTCTGAGGAGCTTTAAAGCTGCAGGCCAGCGTTTCTCAAAGGAATATCTGACCTCTTGTTTTCCAGACACTTTTCTTTTCCATGACCTGCTATGACCATGTTAATGTGTGTAATTTTTGTTTTGTGTTCAAATGCAAATCAGTCGTAATGAACATCTGCTCTGAAGGCATTTCGCAGCACCTGAGAAAACTGGCTCCATCCAGTACTAACCGTCATGGCTGAGTTGTGTACAGAGTAATGAGGAGGTAGGAGGTTGTTTTCCATTACGTGTGTGATTTTCCTCAGCTCCTGCTTTGACTCATTACCCCACCCATAGGACAATCAGCTCTTGTATATTAGCTGTAACAGGGAAAATATCTTAATGAATCCCTTCCGCCATGGAAGCTCCATCCACCCTGGAGATTTCTAAAAATGCAATTATCAAATGTAAAAATGCCAAATCCATCCATTTATCAAATGTGGGAAGAAAAAAAAATGAACAGGCTTCTCTTTAATCCTCCCTGTACAATTGAATATCCATTCTTCCTCTTACTTCACATGGTGAATAAAGAACAATGCATGGAGTGACTCACAGTGTTTGTTTGGTATTTGTGATGCTTTGTTTCCAACACTGTGATGGCCACTTAGCCATGCTGAGTGGGCAGAGGCTTTACCTTCACCTCATCACTGACAAACACAAAGAAAATGTATGTTTTAAAGGAATAAGCTGAGTGATTGCAGACTGAACAAGCCCACAGCAGAGGGGGGAAAATAAGTTGCTCATCTTTGCATTAGTAGAGCAGAGGACTTAACACACACATTATTTGTTGGATTAAAAGCAGGAGCTTTAATCCAAAATCAATACCCGGACCCACAGGTCTTTGATATCTCAGGCGTTTACTCCTTTGATAGCGATTACAACAAATCATGTATTTTATTAATTGCTTTCCATTGATTGAGAAATAACTGAATATGCTTTATGGGCTCGTTAACATCTGCTTTATGGCCACTTGTTTACAGGGTAATCATATACAATTCTACTCAAGACAGGTCAGTCCCTGCTGATGGAAGCCTTAACACATGTGTGTGAGCAGATTTCTCTCAATACACTGCACTTACTTATGCACAATTGAGTATTCACACACAGTTAAATGTGCTATTTTTCTGACTTCCTGAGGTAACAAGAATAGTCCAAAGACAATATGCAAGTGTGCAATGGATTTTGGGATGTGAAGAGTCTCAAAGAATACAGCGGTTGTGTGAGACAATCCTATTGGTTGGTGGCAAATTATCTGTCAGAAGTTGTCTACATCTCAGAGGAAGTGGTACAGCCTTGAAAAGCTTCCCCCCTACTGAGAATCACTAGTGTTACAGGTGGAGAGGCAGGCTTATGTATGTAGGTCAATATAGATCATGGATCACCGAGGAGAGACTGTTGAGTGTCGCAGGTGTAAAAGCCCGTCTTCTTAGGTAAGTGCATCCGAAGCACCTGCTGCCTGCATAAACACAGAGATGTCACTGTGTTTTTATTACAGGAAATATGATCTCCGAGCACATTCAGGAACACACTGAGGTTTGATCCATTTTTTTCAGAAAGGCACTCTTTGCTTTCAAAATTATAAATAAATCCTCTATTATGCTGGCTGGCTGGGTTGTTTCTTAAATTCACCACTTTTTTTTCCATTGAATTTTATTTTTTTAATTTAGAAGAATCACTATAGTTGAAGTACATGTTATAATTTTGACGGATTTGTATAGTGCCCCTAAATCTCCATATCTTGGATAACAACCCCAAAATGTGTATCTTTTGTGGCACAAGCCTCGAGATATTTTAGGGTTTGCGTTGTTTTTGGTCAATATAGCAAAATCATGAATATTATGAACAATAGTTCACAGGGAAACCAAATGGAAGGTTTCATTTTGGAGGACCCCTGGTGGCTGAGCTTTGCTTATAGCTTGTCAGTACCTGGTCCAACAGGTGCATATTTGAGTGGTTCTGACTGGGTGAAATGACAGTCACAAATTGTTGCCTTTTCAAAAAAAATCACTGTTACAAGTTTCCCTGACAAAACATCCTTAAATCAACTCTTACTGGCTGCTAATGTACAGTTGGGATCTATTGGCCATTTATATGGATTTGAAGGCTGACAGTTGGTTGAAGGACGAGATCATATAGTGTGCAGTGAAGCCCTCAGAGAAAAGAGACCTCAAATGCCAACATTCAGGCTGTGGAGCTGTAATCTGCCTCCAAAACACACACAGAAACACTGAATGTCACCGCAGACAATACCCACACACATACACGTACACCACAACACTGCGATACCAGCATGTGACACGGATAGAAGGACTCTCTCTTTAGTCACTCTAAATATTCCACTTTAGCAATCATAACTCCTAGGCAGGCTTTGAAGGCTCCCATGCGCAGAAAATCTATCACACAGTGCTGATACGTGTTAAGGCACGCCACTCTGACCTGCTGATTGCATTTTCACACAGTGGCTACTGGGGGATGACTGCATGAATATTCCCTCTGTTCCCAGCCGCAAGCTTGATAGGATTATCAAAAGTGTGCAAATGCACATACTCTCGTGTAACAAGCCAAATGCCCCAAGGCCCGAAATGTTCACATCACCCACTGTATGCAGCCTTTTTTTTTTCGGAAATTAGAAAAATTCAATGGATCAAGCCACAAAATTAAGAAATCTTATTCTTTTATTCACCTCAGATCTGCAGATGCAAATGCGGTGTCATACTGCAAGTGACTCAGCAGCAGAGCATGAAGCACAAACACCGGTACTGCTGGTGCATGAAGCCTTTAATAAGCTTTACTCAAACATGTATGTGAACATGAGTTGCAGAAATGTCCTTGTGACCAGGGGATTGCTGATGTAAAACCCAACGAATGACCCCTCACTCTACACTAGAGCCACTTAGTGACCCTAGTAGAGGACTGGGGTTGTACCGGGAGTGTCCTTGCCATGTAAAGTTACTTCTCTTTCAATCCTGTCATGGTGACATCTGCTCCGTCCTGCCTCTCTTCTGCCTCTAGTTCCTCTGACTGACGTAGTCGTAGTGCTACACCAGCAGCTGTGGTTATATTTCATATTTGTTTGCCGTGCTTTAACTACATCTTCCAGACAAAGCGATGATGAAAACAGCAGTTAAACAGGCCAGACATGTGTTTTTTAAATCTCCAAGCAATGAGCGCCTGAACCATAATAAGCACACTCCTTCTAAAGTGCACCACTGAACAACTGCTACGCAGTCATATTTGCTCAAGTTAAAGATTTGAATAATCCCCGCCTGTGATTTACAATAATTTGTGTGAACACAGCATGTGTGTGAATGTTCCTACACGAACTGTGTGCTCTCTGGGCTTAAATATTTGCAGTACATATCGGTGTACATTAAAACTGTGATGCGAATCAGAAACCTAAGATTACACACAGACTCACTGCTGCAGCACTGTGACTGGTTCTGTGCATGTATGTATAATCAAGGGCGTGACGTGAGTGAGGCACACAGGTTTCCAGCGCTCAATCTATGATGACTCATGGAGGGGCTTTTGTAAGTGAAAATAGGATCTAACAATGAGAAGGTATGATTTGGAAAGGTTTTCCTATAGCAGTAGGCCTATCTGTTGTAAAATGCATCCCTATTTAGAGTAAGGATAAAGAAAGCATCAGTCCAGCTAATTTTATCATCTGTATAAAGCAGCCTGTTATTGCAACATATCTTGTTAAAATGTACCTTGTTGAGCAAGTACCAGAGCCCAGAAAGTGTTTTTGCAAAGCACCACTGTCAGCGTATTTTCCAGAAGGCTGTGCACTAATAAAGACAACAAACAGCCCATTTTTCACCTCAGCTCTGCCAGACCACAATGTAGGAAGACAGTGGGTTCTCAAGTGCATCTGCAGATACACGGTAATGGTAATGTAATTGTGTGACCATGTTAGTTTTTCATAGATCGCTGGATGGATTTAGTATGCAGATTCTTAATTGCAATTTTTATGTTCTATAATTGCTCTATAGATATTTTTAGTACACTTGAATTTGTTTTTAATGCATTGCTTCACATTATTTCTTATTGAACTGAAATACGTAAACAGATCATTAAAACAGTGAGGGGATTAAAGAGTTTGACAGCGGGCAGAGACATGAGGACCTGAGAGATAGATGCTGGATTAATCGGGATGTTTTCAACTCTCTCCGAGATTAATTGCACTGACTGGTTTTGTGAATGAAGCGCAGCCAAAACAGTGCGTCCTCTTCCTCCCCCTCATCCTCCTCCTCTATGGAGCAACAGTGCCAAATTGGAAGCACAGGTGCCTGCAGGACAAAACTAAAATGGGATTAGACATCAGATCATCCATGCAGGAAGAGAGACTCAAATATCTCTGATTTCCAACGTGCAGATTTCCCCCCCTCAGTCCCGTCACCGTGAATACAGGAAGAATCAAGGTTGGGTGCCAATCCCTCACCTCGCTCGCCGTGCGCCCTCCCTCCTTCCTCCGTGTAATACAAACCTCGTGATCGCCCATTCAGCGGTGCCTGCATCTGCTGCTTCAGGGGGGTAATAAGCCGAGTAGCAGAGGGGCAGGCAAGCTAAACATTATCTGGGAGACAGACAGGTGTCGCGGAAGTTTACACGCGCAGAGGCGCATCCCTCCACGTCTTTTTGTTGTTGTTGTCATTATCTGGGATAACGTGAAAGAGACTGTAACTGGCGGTCATCCGGCACCCACTGATCCCGTGTAAGTGATTCTCCACATCAACTCACTGCGAATATAGGTGAACGTTAGCCCGATTTAATGAGCAGGAATGAATGATTGAGTCTCCGTGTCAGTTGGCTGCACGAGATGTGTGTGATTTAATGTGTGTGCACGCTTGCACCTTGATATGAAAAGCATCCTTTCAGTACCGTTTGCTGTAAACCGCCAGATTGACTGTGCATTTATATGTATATATATATATATATATCTGACAGTTGCCACCGCAGGATTTCGCTCAGCTGTTATAATCGCGCAGTCAGCCACGGTGGCAGTCTGAATAAAATGCATATGTTGCCAGTTTTTAAATGAGGAAAGTGCGGCATGGTGCGGGTGTGTGAGGTGGATATACGATGAGGTAGATTTGCCTCACAGCTCGACACAGTTCAGAGTGCCGAGAAGAAACTAAAAAAAAAAACAGATTCAGCAGGTGCAACATGTGACTCATCTTTTCCGATGGGGACACTGGTTTAATTAGCAGGAGCTGTTAAGAATGTCATGTTTTGCCTCAGAGTCGTGGTTGCAGAAAAAACAAAAAAAAACCAAACCTTTAACCCAAAGGAATGCAAGCTGAAAAGCCTTACTTGGCAGCAACACCTCTGAGTGGGTGCACAGGTAGCTGAACTAGGCTCGGTGCAGTTTTTATGTCTGTTGCTTTGTTTTGTTGTGTCAACGCTGTCACTTGTTGACAATAACGCTGGGTTATTTTGGGAAGCTCTTTCGGGAGACGCCAGGAATACATTCACCCAAATACGGGATGAATAAGCCGGCTGCTCTGAGCTATTCATTCAAGGAAAACATAGAGATCCCTCAGCCAGAATTACAACCCATTCTTAGAGTTTGTGCTCAACACTTTGTCACATGCACAGTGACTCAGAGGAAGATTCAATTAGCATCTGTTCTAATTCTTAACACTTCAGGTCACAATGTGTTTGCGTGTATGTGAGTGTGTGTGTGAGAGTGTGTCTTCACATATCAGCTGCAGCATTCTCACCTTGCCAGCCTCCTCTCTTGCTCATCAAGTGGTAATTGGTCAGGTAGTGATGGGTGTGACACAGCAGTTCGATATGTCAAACAGTGACAAATGATCAAGGGCTCTTCCCCATTCGGAGCCCATCCGGTGAGGATTTGAATGTTCCCTCTGCCAGATGTGCGTACAGTAAAGGGGGAGGGAGTGTGGTGTGTCTGCACTAATCAAGTTAAAAAGCCACTGATGTATTTTTCTTTTCTTCTTGGCATGACCTAAGCTTTATTTAATGTGGCAGTATTCATATCCAAAAGTGGTTTGCTGTTTTTTTTTTTTTTTTTTGTGGAGAACAGTGATTTTGAATTGTCAGAGTAGGAAAAGCTCATGTATAACCGATAACATCAATGATGACTCACCTAAGTGTCCAAGTAAAGCACGACAGCATGAAAGTGAGCCAGCATGCTTAATATCAGGAATACCCTGAAACGGAAGCAGCTAAATTGAATTCAGCCATCATTCATTTGATCATGTACACATGTGCTTTTCCTTCTGGGACATGTCAAAATGTCTTCTGTGAAAAAAAGGCCTGTTGCCCAAATATCAGCAATAGAATAATATAATTATTATATGCATAGACGATCTTCATTTGTGGAAGTACTGGATGCATTCTCATGGAACAGTTGGTGCCAACACTTTGATATGTAGTTGCCATTTTGAGTTGGGTATGTCACATTTACGAGTAAGGTCCTAGATTGTTTTTTAGCCACAAAATCCACATAAATCTCAATGTCCCTTTAAAGTCTCTCTGTGCTACTTCCTGCATGTTTAAAAGGGTGTCCAGGCCACGTTTCAACATCCACACATGACATCCAGATCCTTGATGCAACTTTTACTTTTTCAACACATTACTTTGTTTTTCTGCTGAAGCTTTTCCCCACATCCTCTGTTGGGGAGGAGGGTTTTACAACTTATTGAAAAAGTGATGTCAGTGCATATTATCTATTGTTTCATGCTGACATTGCTTTATAAAGGCAATATAGGCCAATATTCTGCACATTATGCAACTTTTTTTTTTAAGCATTTCCAATAACTAATTCATCTACAGATGGCATGTGTAACCACTTACACGGCTCGTCCCTTAGGATGCTAAGTATGAATGAGGTTCCTTGGTTGACTGGTGATATTAAAGTAATGACTGTGTACCGGCCGGTTCACACTATATGCTTTGCTTCTTACTTTACAGCGAGTCGAATGGTGGAGCAGTTGGAGGAATAACAATTTTGAGTTGATATGCAGTATGTGCCTCTAAACCAAAAGCCAAAACTACAGGTGCTGTATCCCACTATTCTTGTTGCTTGTCTTTTCTCTATGATGACTCCTCTTGCTGTCATGTTGACAGATACTGGTCGTATCCTGGGGTTACAAAAACACCTTGTTTCTGCTGTCAGGTGGATGTAGGAAGACAAATGACCAGAGAGACAAAGAAAGGCCATCACACACAAAATTGCAGAGCTTGGGTTTAAAAAGGAGCTACAGTGAGCTATTCCCACATTTTCTCAAGCACAGTGTCGGACAATCTCCAGCACAGATCTCCCAATCGTAGATGCATCACACGCACACTGAAATAAACCAGACTGCGAGAAGCTGTAAATGCTGATCTGCAAAGTCGGTTCACCGTATTCACTTTCAGTCCAAATAGTAATTTCGGCAAAGTCGTTCTCAATCTCCTTCCCTCTGGCTGTGACGAAACGCTGGTTCAATGGAGAGTGTCTAAAACAAGCAGTTCATTTAGCGCTTGGCTGAACCTGCCCTTTTAGTGCTCCGACAGGGCCTTGTCCTCAGCTCGCCCATCCTCTGCTGACTAGACGTCAGCAGAGCCAAGTGCTCTGCAGCAGGGTGTGGGATGTGGTGTTTTGTTTATACGCGTTTGAGTGTATTTGAGATGATTTAGTATCAGTGTGATGTGGTTGATTGATGCATGCGGTGTGTCCTTTGGAGAAAATGCAGGTTCCTCTTCATTCTCCTGAGAGATTCATCAGTATGACCTATTTTCCCCACTAAAGCCGTTTTTTCTCTCTCTCTCTCTCTCCCTCTCTCCCTCTCCCTCTCTCTCTCTATGTCTCTCTTGTTCTCTCTCTCTGTCTGAGCGCTGAAAGTGTCAGTCTGAACTCTTGATGATAGTTTGACCAAAACTATATTTTAATATTTTGTAACAATTGCTGTGTGTGTTTCAAATTAAGCATACCTCATTCATTATTTATTTGCCAAAGCCAAAGTCTTTACCTAAACACAACTATACTGGGTTTGTGTCGCAGGTATTACAGAAAGCAAGCATTTTAACACTGTTGGCACTGAACACACTTTTGCAAAACAAATGTAATATTGAGATTCTTGTCCGGCGATAGGGTTGAATTCGATTTGCTGAGACATGCACACATACAGGTAAATTGTACTGATCAGAGACTGTGTGATCAACAGGAATGTAGTAATCCAGAATGTAGTTCTTCGGGCCAAAACAAGGAATCAAGCCGCAGTCTAGTAGCTGTTGGTAAAGAAGGAGATCTCACCTCTACATCAGCTTACCAAGATGGAGTTCAGTTTAGCCCACAACCTCTCTTGTCTCAGAAGGCACTCTCCAATCAGTGTCACTTAAGCAGGGTTTGTCTGTTGTAATAGCCCTCTCTCTCTTACAGACCGATAGCTCGTCTGTGCTTTTGTTGAGGGTGTGTGTTAGTGGTGCTGACACTGCTCCATAGAAGAAGCATAGATTCGATGTGCACATATTTGTGTGAGTGTATGTTTGTGTCCGTCTAGTTGCAAATTGTCACTAGTGAAAAATGGATCGGTTGTGGGTACAGTTGCTGTCCCCAAGTATGTGCATCACTGAAGCTTCAGAGGCAGACACTCGCTGTCATAAAGGATGCTCCATCCCCGTCCTTGACACCACTCGCTATAAAAAGAAGGCCTGAATAATTGCCTTCCCTTGTGGCTATACAATGATGGCCTTACAGTAATGGTGCATTGATCTCCTCAATACATTAGGAGAGAAACGGGGACTGAAGTCAAATATGTTAGACCAGCCTGTCGCTGCCGGGGTTGTAATATGTTACAGAGCAGCTCGGTTGATTTTCCACCTGCTAATTTGAGTCTCTGGATAGACTGATAAAGGGCTGAGGAGATGTGAACCTGGGTTCCTCGCAAGACATGCTGTACGTCCACATGAGCCAGTGTGTGTGTTTTAACATTTTGTATATAACATCTTATGTCACACTGGATAGCCTTTCCCGGGGCGAGGGCAAGGTCACTGATCCCAGCGGCTTAATGAGGAGTGTTTGTGAATGCCATTGTGTCTTTATTAGCGTGGTACCAGATGTCTTAGAATGAGAGATTTAGCAGCAGTTTTCCACTGTAGCTAAGAATGTGACAAAAGCTCTTTCTCACACTTGTGTGTGTGTGTGTGTGTGAGAGATTGAGCATGTATGTGTTGTCATTTGCCCTTGTTCTGATACAAATTACACATAAAATCATCTGATGGACATATCTGCAAGGATGAAATAAAATAATTTTATTTGAAATATTGAAAAACAATATTCCTCTGGTTTCCCTGAAGCTTTTTATCCAAATGACATGAAACCGTCTTCAATTTTAGACCAATGAAGTTTATTTTACTCAAATAGATGCTCCAGAAAGTCCAGCAATGTGTCTTTGCGATGAAGCACATGATCAGGATCGTCGTCGCAATTTAGTTTTCTGCTTTTGAAACGTATACATTTGACGGTTGAAGTTGAACAGCAGTCCGTCATAAGCCAGGCCCTGAGCTGAACTGGAGGAATGAGTGACCTGCTGTGCGAGAGGAGAGACGCTCTGTCGATGAAGCTCAATAATAGAATGGACATAATTGTCTGGCCTTCTGAGTCATCCTTGCTCTTCCCACTGCCAGTGCTCTCCCATCTTGTTTAGACACTGCACTTAATGGACCTTCTCCTTCTGTCCATCTCCTCATCTGTCTCTGCTTCTCTCTCTCCCTCCCGGCATCCCTCGGTTTCAGTTGTATGGGCCTCTCCGTCACCCTTTCTTCACTTCTTGCCTTACGTCCCGTCTCACCTCACAAATAACAAATGTCGATCTGGGTTTCAAGCTAGCACAGTCCTTAACTTATGTCAGCTCCCTAACTGTAACACATTAATATAACGGTGCTACAAGTCCACAAATGATTTCACTCTCATGCTGTAAAGCTGTATTTGGATAAGGAACACGCACTAGTTAATGTACGTTTTGCAGCCAAGTGAAGTGTATTTACTGAACACACATGTGCCACATATTAAACCCTAAATCAAAGTAATGCGCAGAAACACAACATCTGTTATTTTGTGACAACCGTGTTTGTGTTTGTTGACAGACGGACCAGGCAGTTACACCTGCCTGCTTAATGCTGAATGCAAAAACAAGACTTTATCTCACTGATTTGATTGTCTATGAACTGGAGAGTAAAGCTACTGTACACTCAGCTGCATAGAGGGATGCAGATTCATGGTCATTTCGGAAGCTGTTGAATTGTGTAAAGGAAAAAGAGGACAGCTGTATACCTGTCCAGTGAAACGATCTAAATGTGTTTTGTACAGACGTTCATTCAAAAGCACATGTTAAAATGCTCTGTCCCTCTGTCTTCCTTCAGGGTTGTCTCAGCCTCGGCCCCCAGAGCAGCATCGCCTGTGCCTCTCCTCGTCCTCCCGTCTTGGACCAGCAGCTCAGCGTGGCGAGGCCAGGAAGGATGGGCAGGAAGCTGGACCTGTCGGGCCTGACTGACGATGAGGCGGAGCACGTCTTGAAAGTTGTCCAGCGGGACATGAAGCTGCGAAAGAATGAGGAGGAGAGGCTGAGGTGAGATTGGTTTCTCCTGCCTGCGCCCTTTTTCTAGTATTTTTACACATTAAAGGCGACACAGAGGCTACAGGGTGTTTGGAGAGGAGCTGATAAGGAGGGATGACATTCACCTGTGAACAGAAATGACCAGATATAGTGTTGTACAGCTCGCTCAGCTGACAAAGACTCTTAGGCCTTCTATATATTTTGTCTTGGGTTTTCCCCTCTACAACTTCATCTGCTTTTGCGTTCCTGTGTGTGAAATCTGAGACCTATTAATTAAAAAATACTACGAGTTTCAAGTGGTAAATCGCTTACTGTCGTAATTCTACACTACATATGCTGGCACGTAAACATATCGATCAATGCACCATGCTAGAATGCTTGACAGGCGTACCAACAGTAATGAAGGTTTGGGGCTTAGCGAACGGTCAACTGCACGGTTTGTTTTTTTAGAAAATAACAGTAAATCTGCACAAAATACTTCTTGGTAAATGTAATCCACCTGTTGGTGAACTAGGACAGCTTACTTGCAAATGATTAATTTTATCCTTTTTAATTGATTGATTTGGCGAGCAAGCAATTCTCAAGATCCGTGTTTATCTGGCGAGACATTCATGTTAGTAAATCCGGTAATTATTATCATTGGTATGTGTTCATGCATCCACAATATTCCTTTTTATTTGTCAGAGATTGTACTTGAAGTCTGTTGTTGTGACATCTGATTGAAAAGTGGAAGAATGCTTTCTAAACAAAGCGATTGCAGTCGTTTTTCTTGCAGGATTTCCAGTTGTTGGCTTTATTAAGGTACAGTCGGGGGCTGTAAGCAGGAAGATGCTTGTCTTGTACTTTCCCCTTGCGGGCTGTCAGGTCTGTGGGTGTCAGTGGGTCCGGGCCTCAAGGCTATGCTCTGGTGTCATAGCTTCTCACTTAACATGCGACAAGTGCTGGCCCCGGTCCTCCTCTTCGCCTCGCTGTCCTTCACTCCCTCCCTCCTCTCCCTGTGACAGCCTGTAGACGGAAGGGATTTGGTTCGGTTAACTTGCGACGGGCCTCCATGAGGGTTTGGTCATCAAATCGGTGGTCAAAACAGTGTGTCTGCTTTGTGTAGTTTCACCAGGACTACAGGGAGAAATTTTAGTATCACAACAAAATTCAAAATATGTCTTTCGCTGCATTTTAAGTGTGGTTGTACCCTATGATTTTGTAAACGCAAATATGCTCCTACCAACCAGGCCCCAGCACCAGCTATTTTCTTGTGGAGATTTGATGTCTTTCTTCAGATTTGAACGGCGATCCTCTGTGGTTTTGTGTTCTTGCCACAAGGGATTAGACTGCTTTACTCCGAGCACTGAACATCTTAGCTGTACTCTGAGGAGACTAGCAAAGTTGCCTCACCAACCAGAAAGCAGCCGTTGGTCTGCGCCTTTTTGAAACTCTACTTATTTTTCCCAGAATCTGTTTCATCGCAGAGATGATGTATTCCCAAATTACTGGGCTGTAAAATGTTCTCCCACCAAGCTGCCATGAATGATCAAAAAGTATTTATGCCTCTCGGGCTGTTATTACTGCTGTTTACTGCAAAGAAAAGATGAGCAGATTAATGCTGATAGGAGCAGGGAGACGCTGATGAGGCAACAGTTCTTCATAAAAGCAATCAGGCTCTGTGTTTGTAGCCTTATCGCTTTGTTGGGACTTGTTAAATGGTTTAAAAGCAAAGTTTCCAAAGTATTATTAGACGCAAGCTGAGAGTCAAATTAGGTTGCAGCTCAAAGTGCTCATGTGTTTTACGATCGCACAGATTTTTTTTCCTTCTTGTTTTTGTGTGTGTATTTACTGTTAGATGTTGTGTGTTTTCTGAAAACCTGATTGATCTTGACTCAGTATTAGCGCCTGTCACACTTCTTTGTTCTCTTTTTGTCATTTCTTCACAGCGATGTAAAAAGCCAGATCAGATCCTTAAACTAAGTAAAGGTATATCATACCAGACTGTAAAAATACTCCCATCAAAGTAAAAGTTCTGCCTCAGTATTTTACTCGAGCAAAAGTATGAACAAAATATATACCTTACATATCGGAAATAGTAGTACTTATTATACAGATTGTCGCCTTTCAGAATGTCGGAATGTTAAATCTTAATCACTGTGTAGTCTCATCTCACCAATGCATCATATCTCATAAGCCGATAATGTGTTTTGTGTTATCAGCAAAGTATTTGGCAACTATAGCTGGCAAAGAAAAGTGGCATAATACAGACAGGACTCGTAAAAAGTGTGCCAGATTTACAGTCCCTCGCCTTTCCCTTGATACATCCATGGCCTTTCTCTGATTGGCTGGAATACTGTCACTTTGTTTGTTTCCCATTTTCAGAGCCAGGGCTGTGTATGAGCACCAGCTCTTATTGTTCACTCGGAACGGACAGCAGCTTTCCTATGAAATGTAAAACCTTTATTGTATATGAATAGGTATATTAACGCTTGTGTACAGCAGATGATGGCTGAGTGTTTCAGTGGATGGCTCTCTCACTATGGGGTTTTTTCGCTTCCAATGCGTGGCGGACATTTGTTTTTCTTCCCTGAATGAAGTCAGCCCTGCAGAGTTGTAAATTACCCTGTTGAAGGATTCATGGGATAGTTTATAAGCCTCAGCTGGCAGTTTAAATGCTCTCATTTTAATTTTCTATCATGCTGAATAATAGGAAACGTAGAAACACTTAACTGATATTACCTTCTCTCTCATGAATTCTGATTGTGTCATAAATATGTAAATAAAGCGATGCACACAGCTATAAGCCTAGTTGTGGGTGTTCTTTACAGTTTTGTTGCTCAGCTAAAGTTTAAATGTGGGCTTAAATTGAGTTGACTTTTTTTTAAAAATTATATTATTTATTTTAAATAACTCATAATTTTTATTCTGATGACACACCGCTTTTACTGCACTTTTAAAAGTAGTCTGACTAACATAAATGATTTCCTGGCTTCTATTTTCAAATGAAGTGAAGATAAAGCTCATGTCTTTGGCCCGACTGTAAAAGCATCGAAACGACAATGCAGCAATGTACAATTTCAAAAGGTTCATTAGGAACAAACAATTGATTCTTCTCATTTTCGCACATAAAGGCCCTGCATGCCCTTAAATCACCTCCTCAAGTGTTTTCACTTACATGTTGTCTGGTCAGACCTCTCAGGACTGTGTGGGTATGAACCCATTGTGCTTGACTGACATCTCCCTGTTAGGTTTCCGTTACCTGTTAGGGCGGGACTATTACACATTTACCAATTTCATAGGCCTATTTTTCCTAGTAAGCACAGACGTACTGAATAAAATGAATGATGACTGTCACACTGTTAAGATTTACTGAGACGTTAATGTTGTTAGTAACACCTGTGCTTTTCCTACATTAAGTCAAAGCGTCTGCTGTGAATAACGCCTATAATACACAGACTTCAATGACCTCAGCTTTAGTAAATCCCATCACTTAAGTTTTTGACCATCAGTAGCGCTACAGAGAGATGTTTTTAAGACTGGCTACTCGATCTGTCACTATCCCGTGTGTGTTGACCGAGAAATGTACCAATATGCCAAAAAGGGCAAGGAAGAAGAAGACTGCTGGCAAGCAAACATGAATGTAAAGTATGTAGCTTTTTAAGTTTCAGATTCTACCATCTGCACTGTAAATGTTTAATGAGGAAGGAATTGCATTCGATATGTTTATTAGGCCCCCACACATACATAGACTACAATGCCTTTTCATTTTCAGTACATTTCTGAATTGTTGTGTGCATTCACACTTTAGGCGTCTCATTTCTGCTTCCCATTAGTTCGTGGGTGTCTCAGGAGCTCGGCTTAATAAAATGAAGGGAGACTGCTTGTGCCGTCTTTGCTCCTACACCTGGAATAGTTCACTTGTTTTACCTTTAGTTCCTTTGTTTCTACACACTGAAGTGTTGGCTGTTTTGCTCTCTCTTTGTATTCTTTTGTTTGTTGTGATATTTTCTGCCAATGGCTGCTTTAACTGTGAGCACATAGCTGTCTTTGGAATAGTGCTACGAAAGTAAATCTTCAGTAACTGCCTTTTATGCAACCTGGAGAGTGAGAGTGTGAGTCTGCCAATTAAAGAGAGTGAGCAGCTCAACCTCTGGCCTCGGCCGTCTCAGTGGCCATACAGCTGGAGTGGCTCATTATGGAGCAACAGGAGACTCAGGGGAGCGCAGACGTGGGCCTACTTAACAAACAGCGCAAGCACTACCAAGGGAGGTCAGACTTGGAAATGATTATAGATGGAAAAAGCTATCCACCACTGCCTCTGTGCGAGTGTTGAGAAAATGGCTGGAGCTCCAGCTATTGGTGACCCTAACAGGGTAATTTGCTCTTGGTGTTAGGAAGGATCACTTCACACACGTGTCTGGCAAGTTCTTGTATGGATAGGCCAATTACTGTTCCTGTAATGCTTACTCCAAAACAAATTTCAAATGCAGCTGTGGTAAGTCTATCCTTCCTGTACAATGGTCTGTGGATAAGTCTCAATTATTTGTGAGTTTGTAGGTCGATTCACTCCATAATCAGTCTCTCTCCATTGTTTTCTCTCTTTCTTTGTGCGCAGTAATTCCTGGCTCAAGAATATTTTGCATCAGCAGTTTTAATTAGTCAGTAAAATAGTGACTGTTTTTGTAATTAAATTGTGATGTTGTGTTCAGACAAGTGAACAGTAACCACAGGCATCTTTTTTATCTCATTATGTTTGAGTTAATCAAACCATCCGTCGCTTCTTTATACCAATCTTTGAGTCTGTACACTTCTATCTAACATGCCTCACGCATCCAAAGGCTCTAGCTTCTTTCTATCTTTTTCTTTATGTCGGCTGTTGTTTGTTTTAGCTCCGGTGAATGCGACAGGCAGGAAGGTACAGGGAGCAGGAGTCCCACTGGGAGGTTAGGAGAGAAGGTGGCAGACGATGTCACCCTGTCGGGGCAGGAGCCGACCTCTACTCTCTCCTGTGTTTATCCTCTTTGCTGTCT